AAGTAGGGAGCTCGGGCTTCTTGCTAGGGAGTTCGAACTCCAAGTAGGGAGTTCGGGCACTAAGTAGGGAGCTCGGGCCTCTTGCTAGGGAGTTCGAGCTCTAAGTAGGGAGCTCGGGCCTCTTGCTATGGAGTTTGAGCTCTAAGTAGGGAGTTCGGGCATGCTGGTCCCTTCCCTTTGGTGTTTGTACCCTCAGTATGCTGTCTTGAGTGCCGAGCTACTTGCCTTTTTTGCCACGTGCCGTGATTTGCGAGGTTGGGCCAAATCTTCCTTCATCACTTACAATAAACGAACAACAGCGAATAATCCCTTTTACCTCAGATTCTTTCACATTTCTGAAAAGGTCAAATGGCTCAGTTCCACTGTCTGCAGAAGATCCCGTCGATGAAGAGGTTACAAACACCAAGTGGTTTTTCCTTGCGTCGATGATGCAGTCGCTCATCAATGGTAGTGGTCTTCCTGTTCAAGCTTTCTTCGCTTCGTCTCTGTTGTGGCTTGCCGAGGGTGAGAGGCTTGCAAGCTCGTCTTGCGAGCGGGCAAGACCAAAGCCTAAAAGTAAAGGAATGCGTACCGCAAACTTTTTTATTACGAATCAAAGCATATAGGACATATCTAAGGTCCAAGTCCCTAGAACAGAGCAAAGAAATTTAGACAAAATCATTCTTTTTCTTTTTAATCAACTCATACTAGCCAAAAGAAATATGTAGAAATAACTGATTCCCAACATTTTACAGTGACACATCGATCAGATCACTACCGAGAGGGGAAATTTGGTGTTTTTGTTCTCAAATTATTCTAACAAAAATCTTCCCTGCTAAACTAAAGCAGTAAAGCCCACCCCCAAGAAAAGAATGTTGCTTTGCAGTTACATACAATTTTTCGTGTAAGAAAAAATAAAAAATATTAAAAAACATCAAACCAGAACGAAACTAAAAAAGTAAAAAAAAAAATAACAAAAAGAAATTTTGAAAAAGAAAAAATCTCTTACCACTAGTACAATGCTATACAGTAGAGAGCAACAGCCAGGGCGGTTCTTTGTACGCCAGTAACAGCTGCACCCGATCGGATCTCCTCGCGGAAACCTGGAGGAGATGAGAGATGGGTTAGTAGGATCTTTAGAGAAGGTGAATTCTCTGGCGAAAACGAAATTTCTGGAGGTGTAGCTCCCACCCCTGCATTTCCACTCCTCGTCGCCCCAAGGGCTTCCTTCCCAAAAATCGCTCTCAGCAATAAAACCTTAGAAACTACAAAGATGGAAACTGGGTTTTGATAAAAAACTGTTTGAACGATCCCCGTATCAATCGCCATTAACCCTCGTAATATTCAATGTGAATGTCTCAACACCCATGGCTTCTGTCGCTAAAGTAGGTTGCACAGGATTCACAATCGACACCAGCGAACCCAATGGATAGTAAGAATGCAGAACATGGAACTTCAAGACCACAACTTCCTTTTTCTCATGGCAGGATTGCAGAACCAGCAGCTTAGCTCAGGCTGCGGAGAGAGAAGACCAAGGAGAGTTTGAAGACTAGACAGTTTGGACAGAACAGAGGAAAAGCAGGAAGAAGAAAGGGGAGGAGAGAAAGGGAAAGGGGAAGAAAGAGATCGGGGGAGAGGGAGAGAGAGGGAGAGATTGAGAGAAATGTAAAGGAATTTGAGAAGGGATTACCGCCGCTGCCGTTGGTGAATTGAGGTTGGCGAAGATGACAGTGTTTTTCTCCCCACTGTAATAATTATTACAAGGGTGCTATGGGAATTAAAAAATATTTTAATGGCGCTTTGGACAGAAGGCTAACGGAAGGGGGGGTTGTCTCATGATCATAGTGTCTTTGTCGCAAAACAAAGTACAGGGGGCCTTTGTCACATACCTTATAATATAGAGGGGTCTTTATAATTTACCCTAAAAAAATTAAAAATGCTCATTTAACTTGCTTACAATGACATGCCTACTTGATCTAGACTTGAAACAAATGTATGGGATTTAGCATTAAACTCAACTATTCTCACATCTATGAATCTTTTTAAGCACATGTAATGGAACACCTATAAGACTCTAGTTGTTTAATAAAGCAAAACGAGAGAAAAATGTGCAGCAACTTAGAGCATCCAACGTCAAGTGTACCCGTCGTGCATGAATTCCAATCCCAATCCTGATTCCAATTCTGACTGCAAATCAAACGAACCCTAAATTGATTTGTGAAAAAAAAAAAGTGCATTCTCTTTTACAATACATCCTAATGCATTTGTGACGAATGCTTTATGCATTAACAATAAGAATGACAATGGGGCGGGGACCATATTCCACATGCTTAATCCTAATTTTTTACTAATTTTCCATATCTCATCAAAATTCTTGTCGAGGGTATATATATATATATAATTAGAATACATTAAACTATATTGGATTAGCACTTAGCTAACATCATCAATAACCAATATAACATTGATGAAGAGTGATTTGGCACAACCTAGTAAGAAGGGGACATGTAGATGTGATATGCTTGAGGAGTGACAATTCAGCCAAACAAACCCATTTCGCAACATTCGGAGCTCAAGTATCCAGCCACCTCGGCCTAAAAAATCACCTCAGCGTAGAGATACCTCAATACCCATTCAAATTCGGGACTAAAGAATCGAAGTGCAAGTTCGGAACTAAAGAGTCAAAACGCCACATAATTGACTCTAAAGGCCTCCCTAACGGACCCCGAATTTATCGGGGTCACGATGAGACTCATCCTAGCTCCGCCTGAATCGGAGGTAAAAGACAAACCTTATCAACATATTGCTCTCCTTAAAAAACGGAACAAACATTATTTGCATAGCCCGAAGACCCCGGAGCTCTTTCGTAAGGCCCATGACTAGTCCATTATATAAGGACATGAAACCTCAAGGCAAAAGTACGCGTGATTATTTTACTCACTAGCATCCAAGCACTCAAGTATTTAGCTCATATTCACAATATAAGTACTGACTTAAGCATCGGAGCGACCTCACTAGGTTATCTACCTCGAGTTCTCTGATCTACTGTTCTGCAGATTGGTCAAGCTCGCTGCATAACTGAAGATCATATCGTCTTCCAGCTAAGAGTATTTAAATCGCACACCATCAAACATGAAAATTGAAATTTGTTCGATAGATATACGGTTATTATTATATACTTGTTAACTAGTGTGAGGACATGTATATGCAAATAAAGGGTGAATGTTCATTATATAATCAAATTTAACTATCAATGGAAAAGGTCATGTTACAAGAAAGGATTTGACCAATGATCCCTTCCCTCTCAAATTTTAATAAATACCACATGATATTTGGTTACTGTTACGATACCAAATGATTGGTTACAAATTTTATCCATTATCATGTATTCTTGGGTTACACTATATTCACATCCCCAACCCCAAAACCTCATTGGGTATCTCAATTATTTCTTAGGGTAAGTTTCTTAAATTATTCTTATGATTTAGCCAATTGATTAAGTGTATGTTTATTGTTTTAATATTCACTAACGCTGTTCCTATTCTTTTTGATAATTGACTAATACTTCCCTTATTGTTTTTGGCAATTGACTAATACTTCCTTTATGTTAGTGTCCATTAACAAAATAATTAAAAAGACTATTTTGTCAATGATTCTTCTTTAATTTCTTAGAATGAGGAGGCTTATCTCCATATTGAAATCATTAGAATAATCTTTGACTCATATGAGTTTGGAGCTGATTTCAATCCTTATGGTTTGATCAGATGATGCTAACATGTCATGGGGTTAATCGACGAGGCCCCGTGCGGCGCTCAATGGGGTCGAGAAAACCTATAAATGCAAGCAACAACACACAAAAGGCAATAAGAAGGCACACAAATTAGACAAAAGGCAACTTGTATTGCATTAATCAGTGGTAAGCACAAGCACAC